TTCAACTAAACATCAGGTTTTTAAATTCACTGGAATATCTGCACGCTTGTTCCCGGTTCACCGCGGGGTGTTTCTGTGTGGATAAGTGGGATAGATAATGGATGGATGGTTGGAAATACTGGAAGCTTCCAAGTTAACTAAAAGGTATCGTCCCATTTCATTGCTGACAGTTATTCGTCCTGATGTTTTTCCATATTCGGAACATCAAATCCACTATTTGACTCCGTTGGAAGGAAAACTACACTCCAGCGAAACAGACAGAGACTAATGGTCAGTATTTCTCAGAAAAAGACCAAAACTAATCTCATCCATCTGCACAGGTCGGATTTCATACAGGAAATAGGTTTCAGTCTCTCCATTCCTCATTGATTCTTCTCTCCTTTCACCTTCTCTCTTTTTTTCTTTCAGTCCTGCGTTTCTCTTCCCTTCACATGGATGAATGGATGGAAGGGAAATGTAAAAAAAAAAAAAAGCTGCATTTCTTGCCTGAACATTCGTCTTCGGCTACAAAGAAAAACAGTCTGGAGAGAAGAGAAGAAGAAAAACGCGTGAGCAGCGTCTCTCGTCCATTCGAAATGAAAGGTGGTAACATTGAATGTGTTTGTATGATAAATGTTAGATTTTAAATCAATTGTGTGGTTTTAATCATCGACTGTTTATAAAGATGGACGACATGACAGCTCTCCAAAACATCTGGTTCGCCCCCTGGTGGCTGGCTGCAGTATGGGACGTCACCTCCACCTCCATGTTAGTGGATGGGATCACACAAATAAAAGTCAAAGTACACGTTAAATACATTTTCTATCACGCTGATGTTTTTTTGTTTAATTATTTATATGATGCTGTTAAAACGGGATAAAGCATCACAATTGACTCGCAATTGGTCGAACTTCCCAGCGACGAATGACGTTCAAACACGAGATGGCCGCACACGTATTGAGGACACTTTGTCATCCATCTTAATAAACAGTCGTTGTAATCAACAGTTTATGTCAATGCATTATTTTCAGTGAATTCCAACTCCACCAACACTTGTACTTATACTTTAAAACTACTCTCTTCTTAGTTAGCGTCTCGGCTGCAGCCCGCGGATAAAGGTCGTTTGGAGTTCTCACCGGAGCAGATGTCAGTGAGTTCCTTGATTTCCTCCTGAACTCTGAGGAGGAGGAGGTCCTGCAGGATCTCCTGCTGCTGCTCCTCGGCTTCCACCCCGAGAAGCTCCAGGTGATGATCCTTTAATCTCAGCAACGCTCGGCCTGCAAATTCATTCACAAACGCAGCGTGTGTCCAGTGTCAAGAAAGTAAAGTGCAACCAGAGCCGAATCTCGACATTACAGCGCGAGATGCTTTAATGGACGCGTTGTACCTGATATAGCGTGTTTGATGATGGCTTTATGCAGCCGGTTCATGTGGGCTGGACACTGCTCCTGCATCCACTCCAACACGTCCTCCACCGTCCATAATGACACTCGCTTTGACAGGTCCATCGCGCTGCAGCCACGTCGGCAACGCCCCGACAAGACGGAGGCGTAAACAACACAGACACAGCGTTAGGAACAGTGACATCTTAGCCTCATGCTAAAATCAATAGAGGAAAAATGTGGCGTCCAGATCTCCGTCTGTAAGTTCATCGTCTTTCACTGCCACTCGTCTGAAACACGAGTTCAAGCTCAGCCCATGTTTTTAAAGGGTTTTACAGATATTACAGGGTCTTATTTTCATAGGTTTTATAGATATAAGATATAAAATGTCATCTAACATGAAATTCCTGAATTTGCCCTTTTGTTGCACACGTCGTGAACTGAGTAAATTTAAGGTGGTAATTTTAATATACTCCCAAATGAAGTGGTTGAGATAATCTGATTAAACTTCTTTCATGCTTCTGAATTCAGCGATTTGACCAAAAGGATCAACGACCAAAGTTACAAAGATAAAACCAAGTTGAAATAACACTTGAGTTTCCTTCAATGTTTCCATTTACATCTGATGATTGACTTCAATTATTCATTTATCATATACTTTTGAGCGCATACACATACGTTGTGTCACTAATCTTCAACAGGCTGCATTGTTCGCTTGTTAAAGTTCACCAGAGTAGAATTTGAGCTCAGCAGTGAACACGTCCCTCCGCAGCGGCTCATGCGATTGTGTTTTGTCCCCAGGCCCACGAGCCGAGGACACAGATCTCTGTCGAGGACCCTCGCACATTCAAAACGTCACATCCTCTTGATATTTGACGCCTTGGATTAAATTCCCTCCTCATGTGGTTTCACCTACTTACTCTGACTAAACCTGTTTTCCAGAGATTATCATGACAACCCCCTGAACATGATGATGACAAACAGCATAAGCACGACTGAGGGATTCCTGCAGCGAGGCGAAGTCAAGCAACTCCAACGCTCAGAGGTCAAAATTTAAAAAGTTCTGCTCGAAACTCTGCCAACTCTCATGCCTCGGGTTGGCTTGGCTTTCCTCCCACCCAGGTCCTCATGGGCTGCACCGCTCTGGGGCGAGCGCTGTTGATGTGACCTTTTCAGCAGGCCAGTCGATTTATTGGGTTATAAATATGAGAATGTAATTTCCCGTGTTAATTAAGGGACAAGCGTGATTGGCCGGGGCAGTAACGAGGTCCCTGCAGGGTAAAGGACGGGCAGAGTGAGAACCTTTACACACGGGCTAAAACTTCCCCTCGGAGATTATAGGTTAAAGTAAATCCCACAGTTTTCTGTAACGTTGGTTTTATGCTTGAGGACAGAATCTATTTAACTGCACATCTCCCAAACTGGGCTCCCAGTGGATCAGTTTCTGCAGTGACTGTATATGCAGCTCGTCTTATTTGCTCCAGACCATTTCATTTATGTTCAATCTGCCCTGTTACAACTGAACCAGGACTTGTAAACAAAAGCAATATGCAGCAACAAGCAGGCTGGAAAATTGGCTGTTTGTGAGGTGGATTCCTCTTTTTATTGAGCTGCAACTTATTAACTCACGATTAACACTTAATCCAAAATGGATCTGTTTAAATCAAAGTGAAGATTAACTGCAAAGCGACGACGATAATCTCCCTGAAATGCTCTCGTCCCCTTCACCTGCTCCTCTCTTCATGAGTGCTCCTCTCTTATTGAACTCCAGGGAGGTGAAGTGAACGTGTGGGCAGCTGTTTGTTTTCTCACCGGCTTGATTTCATACATAACAACTGAAGTTATATTTAAAGCTCACTGCCACGAAGCGGTCAGATAAACAAAAAAAAGTTTTTTGTGTTATAAACAGAAGCGCAGTGCATCAATATCACAATATCGGTTTTACCACGAGAATCTTAAAACCACTTTGTCAGGTGGATGTTTGTTTTTCTCGTGGCCTGAAAGTGACTTCAGATCCAATATGTGGTCATCACACCGGGCGCCGAGGCCGTGGGTGGGTGTGAATGATCTGTATTAGAGTCAATAATACAGAACCTGACGTCTTATTGCAGCGACGTGAGCCCAAATATTTTCAAACAGGTGAATATTTGTACTCATATTGAACTGCACTGTAAATAAGTAGATTAGATTTTATCAACACTTTATCTTAAATTATTTCTTAAATCGGAAATCCTTTTAAAACTGGTTTTTAATATTTATATCTTTCTTATTTTATGTGTTGTTTTATTACCGTGTTTTTTTGTCAACCTTGTTCTTGTAATAGAAGTAAAGCTTTATTATTATTATCATAATTATTGTATTCTGTCGTGGTTTATAGCTTGATTACATTTTATTTCCCTCTTTCATTTCACTCTACAGATCTTGAACATACAATGAGCTACAATCATTCTTCTGAAGCAGTCATCCTTCAAAGATGTAATCCTACCATCTTGTGGTGTCTTGGAGAAGTACAACATCTCTTCACCACGTCTTTGAAAACACAGTATTTAGGTGGAGTTACTGAACAGTCCCAAATTCATGAAGACATTAGATCTGATCCCTGATCTTCTTTTCTCTGTTGACGTGATCAAATCTGTTTCTCATTTCTGTTCAAACTGTGAAAAATTACATTTCACAGTTAGTTTCTCTTTTTTAGCAAATAAATAAACTTGAACTCGTCAAAGTGGACGACAAATAAAGTTTATTATCATTACCTGAAGGGAACTTGCTATTGTTATCCATTGCAATACAATTACCGTGCATTACCTCATCTAAATACTGTATCACCTTTTCACCAATGCTGGAAAACTGAATGTAAAAACTTGTATGACATGTTTTAACTATGTGTTCTCGTAGACAGAGTAACGCCGAATTGAAGCACCAACTCTCAAACGCCTTTCCTGGTACAAAACGTGTGTGGACCTGTGCGCATCGCGTACCCCTTGCTTAAACACTCCATATTTTGAATGGAGTTTGGTGTAAGGCGGTCTCACCACACCCAGTGGTTTACAGTAACCCGGCGGTACAGTGTATTTTATTCAACAACAACACTCACACCAGAGTCCAGCTGTAAAATCACATCTTTACAACCTGAGTCCAGGTTTGAAGTTCAGCCATAAGTAGGATTTTTGTTAATGATGACGTTTTAACGGAGGCTCTTACCTGTCCAGGTATGTTCCTACAGGCTCCGCCCACCACCGAGGCGCGCTCTCGACACATCCTCCATGCGCCCATGATGCCTTCAGGTGCTGTCAGGAAATCTGTAACAGTGACAGATCCAGTGAAAACACTTGTGATGCCACTCTTGAACAGAGGTGGCAAAAGTCTTCACTCAAGGAGAAATACAAATATGATTCAAGTATTGGTTTTGATTCAACCTCTTTACTCGGGTAGAAGTATAAAAGTACAGGCTCTTAAAATGTACTCAAAGTATACCTCCGAGGGCCATTTCTACAAACAGTATCTGTGCAGAGCATACTGAAACTCATGTCACATTAATACATATATACAATATACTACCAACAAAAAATACAAAGACTACTGGATGGATATGAGAATTACTTAATACATGTGTAATTATTACTTTGCACTGTTTGATTACCTCTACCACGGAGGAACAGAAAGGTCGTATGAAGTAGAGGCCTCTCACCTCCAGAGTTTCCAGAGTTTCCAGACCATGGAGTCGTTTGAACCATTGGCATCTGGTGCTGAGACGATCGATGGAGGTCGATGTGCTGGTTTCGAGGTTTATTTTCAGCATCAATTTGAAAATGCTGCTTTCCAGCTCTCACAAATATTTACTGAAATCATGACGACTCTACATAAGCATTGGCCCATCTGGGTCCAAGACGTTTTTGAAACACCAGGAAACACAAGAGACATGTTCAACCCTTGAAATGAAGATTTTTTTTTTGATATAAATTGGGTGATAAACGTGATATCAAAACCATTATTAATTCATCTCACGTGATTCAGTTTACATCTCAATAAACACGTTTAAGAGTGCAGTGTCTCTTTGCTGTATTTATAAGTGGGGTTGAGCCACCAGGGGGCGCAGCCGGAGCAGGAGGCTCAGATGCTCCTCGGGTTTCCCCTCAACTTGTTGTGCAGCTGCTCTGCAACACTGAACGATCCTCAGCCTCAGATCTGTGATGGTCACATGACGGTGTTGTGGGTATATTACTCCAAATGTGTGAGCGGGCTCCTCACTGCAGAGCTGCAGGATTCCCACTGACTCTGGTGCAGCTTCACTCTCTGTCTCTCTGGTTGCAAATGACTCTCTGACAGCTGGACGACTGGAGGAGGAGGAAACTGGAGGTGCAGAGTCGAGACCAAACTTTTTCTGGGGGAAATTATGAGAAACGTGGAGCTGTGATTTTTTTTTTTATTCCTCATCCATTTGACAGCAGACAAGGTGAGAGAGGAGAACTCATGTCATTTCATGTATTTGCTTGGTGCTTAGACACTTAAAACGTGCACAGTGCATGTGAATGAACGTGCACCTGTTGAGTGGGGAAGATTATTTTATTTAATCTTTATTTGATCAGGCTGTCACATTGAGATCAACTGCTTTATTCCAAGAGATTCATGAGAACAAGAAACATTCACTGAGTGAGCAACAACCAATTAAACACGAACAATTTTAATAAATGACAGATGCATTCGGTAAGAATGAGTTCAGTGATTAACACCCTGATGTATTGAGTGTGAACAGGTTCATGCAGCATTTATAAAACCCCAGCAGGAGCCAACACTGTAAAAGCACCACATGGTTTATTGTCGGTGGTCACACACGTTGTGACCTTTCGTGGTGACACACTGGTGGACATGTGTTCATTTTTTTCATCGCAGTGAGGCTGGATTCCATCTGCATGTCACTTAATGGAGCGGTGCCATTGTGATGTCATAGAAGAAGAAAAAAAGGGACAGGAAATGCACATTTAACGGAACCAAATTGCTGCTTTGTGTTTCCGCGGTCACGGGTGAAGGAGCCTTTAATCTCTGCGTTTAGAAAATGGGTTAATGTCGCACATGGATGAGTGAGCGATGACATGGGAGGTTTGCTATGTTTAGACAGAGAGACGCTGAAATGTAAGGCAAGGGTTTTTTTATTTTAAATGGCCAATAACAAGTCAGTGAGCCTCCATGTGTCAGACATTAGCTTGTGACTTCTTTACAAACTTTTTTAGTAAGTTCACAGTCAACATTATGTCTTTTACGGCCTGTTCTGCTCAGCGTAATTGTTCAAATGTCATATTTTCAGCAGGCAGCCAGGACCACACACGCTGCTTCCCTCTGACCTGGCAGACAATCGGATGCTCGGTTGGGGGCACATGACAAGATAATTGTTTCCTTTCCCGTTGAGTGAATCTCCACGTCTCTCCCTCTCTCTTTCTCCAGTGTCTCCAAAACTTCCACCACAAAATGTTTGTAAAGAGACAAGATCATAAAGTAGTCAGTTAAGAGAAGATGTGGTTCTGATTCTAGCACCAATGTCATAATTGTTCAATATGTGTTTTAGGTTTGTTTCCCTTGACGGTGATGAAAACTGCAGGATTCTAGCTTCTTAAGTTTGATTCCTTCTGGTCTTCAGGAGATCTCGAGTTTAACTTGTTGAAACCTGCAGAAACTCGGATAATGATCACGAGAACAAGACTCAGTCGATTTGTTGTTCTCACTGATACAGATGTTTCAATAGGTAAGATGCGTCAGATTTTCAAAACCCAGATGTGTCAGAGTTGATTGGACGTTGTCTCTCGTGCAGCTTTGACTCTTCTTGGCTCATTGACACGTTGGCTCTTGAGCTGTTTGTAGTTTTGGGCTCTACGAAGGAAAGCCTCCTTGTCTTTTGAGGGATGAAGGAAGAAGAAAATCCACTTCCTGTCAGAGTTATGTCCCATTTAAATCTGGTTAAAGTGAATCCAGCTCGAGGAGAGGCAGCTGATATTCTGCATTAAAGGCTTCTTTGCTGTTTTTTCAGATGTAAACATGAACCAGACGTCCATGTTTCATGGCTCTTATGCTTTTATCAGGCACGTGGATGTTTGGGCTTGACTCGCAGATGTGTCACCACTTCCTCCCATGGTGCGAGAAACAAATGAGAACCAACTTAATGGAAATATAAAAACTTGGCCATACATCAGTGTGGTCGGAAACGACCGTAAATAAAGGAAAAAGTTTCTATAATTGTGTTCACGGTTGTGTAGATAACGAGAGCAGGCGGTGACTCACTGCTTTGTGAAGTTGAAGCTGCTTCGCTTTCCCACCGTCCTCTGCTGGCACCGGGTAGCGGGGACCAACTGAGTGCGTGATGAAAGAGTGTTATATCCAACCAAACTCCGTGTAATTAGACGATAACTCACCTCATGAATGCACACACACACTGTAGACACACACAGAGACACACAAACACACACATGGGGGGGTACGGAGGGGATTTTGGTGGGATCTCCTAGCAGCTCTGATGGTTCCTGCCCAGCTTTGGTCTAAATGTCAAACTGACCCCTCTATCCCCTCCATAATGAGAAAGTCTAGACTGAGCACTTTTTAACGACTTTGTCAAACACTCACAGATCTGCCACCGGGGCTTGTGGGAGTTTAAACACCCACCGAATGCTGACTGCAGCAGATTTAATTTTACCCCTCTGAGACATCTTGTGTCTTGCTCAGTCTCCCTGTCATGACTCTCATCTATTTGTTTCTTTATACATGTTTGGTTTGCACCGAGGGTAGCGTGGGAACCCCCCGTGCAAACCAGGAGAGCAAACGTGGGCCGACTCTGAGTAAATATGGCGGCGAGGTAATGTGAAAAAAATGAGGCAAATGGGAGAAACTGATTGCGATTCATTACCAGTTAAATTCTCCACAAATTAAAAAGTCAATGTGCTTGTAATTAAAAATTGAGTTATGACGCAGTTTGTGCGCCAGACTTGCAAACAGCGACTCCTCCCATGGCTGCACCTGCTGGACGAGGCGGTCAGCCATGTGTTGGAGGTGGAATCACTCTGCGTGATGATGAGTGACTCCTGAGACACTCTCCTCTCTCAGGAAATGTTTCCGTTGGATTTATGCGTCTATTTGGCCGCTGGTCTTGACAGCAGGACGTGTTGGAATCCTGCCACAGCTCTATCTGTCGAAGCGTGCTTCATTCTTCACGTCTGTGTGGTTAAACACCTGAGATGGACACATCACAGCTGCTTTAGGTGAAGTTATGGTTCCGGAGCTGCCTTTTCTTGTATTTTCATGAATCAAATGTCACCAGATATCGATATTTCCAAGTGTGCATCGGCTAATTTTTTTGAATTGATTTTAAATGTGAGATTAAATTGAGATTTGCACAATTTCACTTGGGGCGGCAAGATGGAAGTAATCATCACGAGTAATTCCTGCTCTTGTTCAAACACACACTCATTCAAACACTGTCGTCAAAATGAGAATTAAGAGCCGACAAACTCAAGAACGTAGTTTTTCAGTCACGGGTCATTTTGTGAATCTTTCACGTCTCTGTCGTCCGTCCTGTTTGATGTGAGTGCAGCTTTATCCTCAGTCATCGCGCGGTCTGGGTTCTGACTTCAAGGGTCAGGATGAAAAGCCTGGACATCTGAGAGAAGTCTGGAGTTGAACCTCTGCTCCTTTGTGTTGAATTGATCCATGCAGTTAAGTTGGTTGGGGTCTTTGAAGACTCCCTCTGAACGTATTCCAGGCACATTCAGCTCGGGGGGGGGACCCCAGGTCAACCCCAGAACACACCAGAGGGGGTTTATATCCCATCTGACCCCGGACAACCTGGAGATACACGACGCGCAGGGCAGATAAGATGAGGTGGAGAGGAATTTACACCATTGGTAGATTCCATTCAGGCCGCCATTCAAACACTAGCATGGGAAATGTGCTCCTCCGAGCCGTTGACAGGCCCAATGATGAGTTTGAGTTTGTATTATTAGAGAAGCCAATGCATCTCCCACACTGTGGCACACGGCCTGTTGTTACGGAAGGGGAATTTCTCGTTCATGGCCCGTGACCCACCACTTTCCACAATTCTTAATGTGTCACACTTCGAATCATCCTGCAGACTCATGGAATGGGGCAAAATCACAAACCCTGTCCAAATCTGTTGGCAGAGAGAAGCACATCACACAACGCTGCTGTAGAGATGATGGCCACAGTCCTCACACCAGAGGGATTTCCTTCTGTTTGTTTAGCTTGGACCTCCATCTTTGTGTGTGTGTTTGTGTGTGTGTTTGTGTGTGTGTTGCAGCGCAGCTGATTTACAGCAGTAGAGGGCAGCAATGCAAAAACACATGTATTTGAACCACTGCACCGATGACAACCCTCTCAGATAACAGATAAATCCTTAACCAACCACAAACTTATTACTTTCCCAACCTCTTACCCAAAACATGACCTACATTTTCAGAACTGTCCTTGTTCGTCAGGCCTCAAATCGTTTCTTGAGAAAATAAAAGTACAGAAGGCCAAATACAAGCACTGACCTAAAGCCGAGAGTCTTTGCAGCTTTGTTGAAAACCTGTGAACCGTCACAATCCTTTTGTATTTTGAGCACATTGCCACAATTGCCGTATTCGTACTACACGTATGTCCCAAAGATTTGGTATAGAGGGTATGAGGAGACGTGGCAGTGTCATGAATACAAATGTGTGTGGTTCACGCTGTCTTCTATCTTTCCTGTTCATTAGGGCGGAGATGGAGAACAAGGCCATGTATCTGAGCACATATGAGGAGAGAGAAAACGGCTCCATGTATGAAGAGGCCTACGATGGACACAACTTGTCCAAACTCAACCTGTGTGACGAAGGTAAGAGAGAATGAGACAAAGAGAAAGTTGAAAGCTATGAGCTACTTATGGCTTTTTAAATTAGCGTCGTCAAACAGGATCCGTTTTCTGCCGCGGTAAGAATCAGAGTTTTTATGGTAAATTGAGGTGAAAACATTAACGATTTACTAAAGTAATTAATGCATTGCAAACAAGATGGTGAATTTTGGTAACCCATGTACACTACACACACACAAACACACACACAGGCTCTATGGAATGTCCATGAGCAACATCTGTGTGTGTGTGTGTGTGTGTGTACTCACTGGTGCAGCTGAACGAATCCACAGTTGACCGTGTGTCGTTCTCGGGTTTCGACCCGGGGCTCTTCGAGTTTGGTGGGAAAGACTTAGTGAACATATAACTGGAGAACTTGTTGACGTTTTAATGGAACTTGGACAATGTCCTCACACATCAGAAAGGACTGTCAATGTCCAACTTTACTAATCGTAGAACATTTTCACACCTCGGACAATTAGAGGAGATTATTCCCCCCTCCGCGGAGCAGCTGGGTTCATGGGAGGTGCAGCAGAAACGAGGAAAACAAAGCAGTCAGCGGGTTTCTCTGAGGTTTTATCAATGACTCACATCTATACAGGAGACATGAGGTAAACACGCTTTGAATTATGGGTAAAGAGTTCCGTCCTGGGCGACGCTGCAGACAGGAAGTGTTGTCAAGCTCACCAGGGTCTGACTCGTGCATCATAATTATCACGGCACATTCAAGCATAGATGAAATAGCGTTGTTGTTGCCGTGCGCATTAATGTCACCATAACCCGTCAATAGCAGAGACGGTGCCGGACTTTTTATGGAACATGGTGAAGTTGCCAAGCGCCATGTGTCTCTCATTTGGAAAGACGGAGTTAAAGGAACAATGCTCTGCCCTTGTAAATCCACAAAACTCAGCAGAGACAGTCGGATACGCAGACTCCGCCAGTACCTGACTCACACTGGAACTGCTGGAAACAAACCCGCTCGGGATCAGTGTTCAAATGGGTCAAACTGTGTTGGTGGCTCCTCCAAGTTTACTGGTAAAATAATCCTCCAAGCTGGATAATCCTTGACTCCAACCATTATTGAATTCCTTGTCAAAACGGTGCAATATGTCGACAACACCCTCAGCAGACAGACATTACTCACAGTGCAGTAATGTAATCCCCAAATGTATTTACAGTTACTTGATTATGCTGTGTGTCTTCTTCCAGCTGGAGACGATTGTCACTGTCACTGAACAGTTTTGTTTTCTTATTTTCACTCGGGTTGTTTTTATGCTTCATTTACAACAATCATTACTCGGCGGTATTTTGAAGGATAGTATTTCTAAAAGTATTGTGCAAGAAAGCTTTCAGCAGTGAGACCGGAGACTTGCGCATCGATCGCCCCCTGGTGGCTGGCTGCAATAAAAGGTCATGAACCCTTTGCCTCCTTCATTTTTAGTGAATGGGACATGGAGTAAAATAAAAAGTCAAATTAATGTTTCTGCTTTTTTTATGCTCAACTGCTCGCGGGTGAAACAGGAGGATTGACAGCTGACTCGCGATTGGTCAAGCATTCGTGTGGGCGGGTCCTCGGGTACTCTGGCTCCAATAGCGCAAGATGGCAGCATTCGTATTTTGGCTTCATTTCTGGAGACAGGAAGGAAGTGGGGATTCATCGTCCATCTTTATTTACAGTCCATGAGTTAAACAATAGGTTGAAGATAACAGGCAACATTTTCAAAAGGCCGAAGTCGTTGAACTCGAACAAAGACACCAAACATTCTTGTAATTCCAGCGTCTCAAATGTAAGAAATGTCTGATTTCCTCTGTTTTACATCATCCTCGTGGTGTAAGTCACGTATGTGAGGAGAAGACTGTGTCATGCCACCCAACCATGTAGCTCATCTTTCTTGCAAGGGGTAATTCCCAACTTTCTATACGTCCAAATAAAGATATTATTCACCTCTCCATGCATGTGTGAAGATTCCCGCGGGTTTCAAATCCTAAACAATAAATCATGTTCAAGTGGCGTTTCATATTTCATGCAGTACTTCCCTGGTGCTGAAGGGGCCCCGTGTTATTTCTGCTCGCTCCGACCCTCAACCTGAGGCTTGGTTCATCATATCTCTGACTCTGGTTGCTGTGACAAATGCCGTTAGGGACTGGGCCAGGTTTTCGTGTGTGTGTGTTTTGAAGTCCAGCATTAATAATTTATAATTTAAGAGGTCGACATTTCTGTTCCTATACATTCCAACCATGTGACACACACACATCTGAGCCAGCTGTGTTTGTCTTACGTTGGTGGAGTGTGTGTGTTCTTCATCATAGAGGGGAAACGTGTGTGTGTGTGTGTGTGTGTGTGTGTGTGTGTGTGTGTGTGTGTGTGTGTGTGTGTGTCAGCAGTGTTCACTGACAGATTGTCATGGTCCAAATGAAACCATGCTGTCGGGAGGCCGCTCGGCAGAATCACTGTTTGTATTTAAAAGTCAGACGCTCGTGTGTTCGCAGAAAGAAAGAAACTCATTAAAACCTCATTATATCTTAGTGGGTTTTCATATTTACATTAAAGATCTTGTCACACGGCCACAGTGACTCTCCAGAGACACCTGTCTGTCTATCCTGAGATATTTTTAATACAGCTTTTTTACTTTCCACCCAGTTCATCTCAGTGCTAACTCTTCTGTGTGATTGCTGATCCCTAGAATATCTTGTTACCCTAGATATATTTAAAAAATAACATTTGGTTTTATTCTATTTTATCAAATAAGAGATAATTAACTGAGTGTGTACATTTTTTTTTCTTGTAATGCTGCACTTGCGACTGTCACTCAGTCACGTAAGATGTATTTATATATACATTAAACTTTGTTTTAATCTTTGTTGACTGATCTCAAACAAAACTGGTCTGAAGTCTGAAAACATTTCAAAAGTCAAATCTCGTTCCCGTTCCAAAGAGTGAAGGATGTGATTCCAAAATCACTTTATCCTCTTGACCTGATGAGAATGTTCCCTCAACATCAGCAGCCTAATCCCCACCACACACACACACACACACACACACACACACACACACAAAGGAAATACCACGTCCATCATAACAGTCTTGTGTCACTTTTATCAAGACTAATTCTCAAACATCTGTTTGACCCTGAGAGCGGTGTTAAGTGATGACATGAATTATAGTAATAGCTCCACGGTGAGTGTTTTGCATTGTGTAATTCATACAGCAGAGTTCCCTTGTGTTAAATCTGTTGTATGATTTTATCTTTGCGTATACGTGTGTGTCGTAATGTATGTCGTTGGCCTCGGGACACTAATGTCTAAACCATTTCCCTTTTAACAACGATTCAAGACTGAGATTTGCCAAATATGTGCAGACATCTATCATAAAATTCATACTTTGAATTTAAAAGTGTGACCATTTAAAACCACTAAACCGAGAAATGCATTGTACTGCTGCGTAATTCTTTGTATTGGAGTCTGCGATGTTTGATGTATGATCATCCCCTTGGATTTCTACAGTGCTGTATGTCATCATAGCAGCACATTTCAGGTTTTATCATAAAAACCTTGGAGTTTTTCGTGCGGCTACAACCACCTGTCCTGGCTCATGTGCGTACTTCTCATATTTTTTAACTCAAGATGAAGGAAATACCTGGAAAACAGGATCTGGGTTGTTTCCAAACTCCCTCAGAAATGTGAACAACCTTTTTAAAGCAAATTACTCACCTCACGTATAAAGTTTCAGCCACAAAATTAATTCACTTTCAGATGAATGGTTTGGTTGAATGGAAACATGTTCTCACCTGTATTCGGGGGCTTCTCCTCCCTTTTTAATTCTGGCGTTTCATTCTGTTGCGGTCAGGTTCTGGAAAGCGTCGCAGGAAGCAGGACCAGTGCTGCGGTCACCTCAACTCGCTCTCAGCCATCAAATACTCCATTGTGTCGCTCTACATCCTGGTTCTTCTCACCATCTTTGGGCTCTGCCTGACAGGTAGGAAGAAAATAAATGGATTTAATCACGTGATTGGTTGCGACAGGTATGTACCAACGTGTTTATCTTGTATGTGAATGGGACAAATGACTAAATCCTGCACGTCTCTGATTTGCATAAAGCAGGTTTTTGATGAACACTGGTAACTTCACTGAGCGATAAACTCATAAAGCACAGAAACATTTATGCCTGTTCCAGAATTCATTCGCTTGACGACTACCAGAAGGTCCTGGGGGTATTTTTCTTATCACTGTTTCATAATGAGAATAAGATTTTTTTGAATTAATCAGAAATAAAAACGTTGCAGGGAGAAGGAGTGTAATGAAAAGATAATACATAATAACAGAAACAAAAGATATCTGAAATACTCTCATGTCATATGTCATAATAAACTGTTTTTTCCAAGTTCAAGAACTCTCAGCTCAGACCCGTGTGACACACGCTGTGTTTTGATTGTGATTATTGTTCTAACCTCAGTGTTAAGTGAAGAAAAATGTGATGCATGATGTTGATCGGCCGATTTGTCAGAGATGAGGTGTTGGAGTAACGTGTTTGATGTGGAGGCTGGTTAGTTTGAACACCGCTGCGGTTTTCCTGGAGCTGCCATCACATCAGTTATTCTAAATCTGAGATAGAGAGAAAGAGAGAGAGAGAGAGAGAGAGAGAGAGAGAGAGAGAAAGGCAGGGAGATTAGAAGAAATGAAGAGCCTAAGAACGAAACCTGAACTTGAGGCTGAAGCTGTGTTGTAGGTCTGATCTCATGAGAAGCCCGTGCCCTGCTCTGCAGCCAATCATTGCCACATTATGTAATGATGTGGGGAAATAAGTGTTTCGCTCACCCACCAAAACATTTCCCTTGGCGACCTCCCGATTCTGAACCGCCCCCTTCTTGCTTCCCAGTGGTGGATTTGTGAGGCATCAACAATATTTCTCTCCAACATCCCATGTCTCAGTGATTGGCACAAAAATAACCTAAACTGTAATGTGGAAATTTGGACGTGCGAGTTTTGAAAATGAGCTTTAGCTGTTGTTATTTCATATCACGCAGAGCTGTCATAAATTCCAGCGTCTTCGGAGTTTACACCGCTGCAGATCCTGCTTCTCCTGGTTGATTTAGAAAAACCCTGGCGCCGTGCCACAGTAGCCTCAGTGTGTGTGTGTGTGTGTGTGAGTGAGTGAGTCAAACTTTACGGCCGTTACCCTTTGCGAACCCTGCCTTGTAAATATTAACTCTCTTATTAAAGGAGAGGAAGACAAAGAAGAGTTTGATAAAGATGGAGAGAGAAGAGGCAGAAAAACGAGGGACGATAGAGTCAGAGAAAGAAGTGATGGACCCAGAAACAGGTTTAAGAGCTGTCTGGCCTCAGACCAGCAGGATCCTGAAGGAATCGACCGCTCTCGCTAATTTGATTTCAAGACCTCCTCTCCTCGAGCCGTAACCACACGGCTGATGCCATTAAACGTCCGCGGCCGTGTGTGTATTCCCAGGCATAGAGATGCCGTTAAGAGGTTGGAACGGGTCCGTTGTCGTCACAGAGGTATTCGGTTATTTAATGCTTTTAGATGAGGTTGTTTTAGAAAAGCAATCAAACTGAGCTTTTCAGCAAGCCTCTCTTAAATTCCCTGCCAGCCATCCAAAAGCTAAGTGGCTCCAGCGTGACTTCAGGGGAGGCCCCTGTTCCCCGCACACGCAAACATTCATATGATGCGAGTGCGCGCGGACACACAGTCACAGCAGCTGCCAGTTTTCCTACGTGAACACGGATTCAACTCTGTTATCCCCCTTTTTGCTTTTTGTTTGAATTCTCACTTGACTTTTTTTTTTTCCAGCTCTTATTTTGGCGTCCGTCCAATCTCATGGTTCCGAGCGATTCCCATGCTTTCACACACGTATCCATATTTCACAGCATAATCACGAGGCCTCATCTGAACTCAGACGAACACATCTGCACTCATGACGTGATGAGTATGATATAGTATTTTCTTTCGCCTGCGCGTCGGATCCTAAATCTTGAAGTTTTGGACAAGCGAGAGAGGGGAGAGTGAAAAACAGAAACTGAGGTGGATAAAAATCTGAAATGCGGAGAATGAATCCTGCTCCAGCCATCATGAGGTGAAGAGCCCGCCTTATCTCTCCATTAGCTCTACAAGCTAATCTCTGTATGTGGATAGGAGAGAGCTCCGTCAGCTCCGATCAGCAGCTCAGAGATTTGGTCCCTAATCGAAAGGTCACATGTTGGGCTCTCACAATATAAGCGCCTGCTCCTTAATGTCCGTGAGTCATAAACCAGACTTTTATCATCTCAGAGGCGCCTGTCGGAGCAACTTTTGTCTTTTGTAGTCGCTTGTTTTGGCCGAAGCACCAGAAGAGAGGGCCAACACTTAACAGACGTGTCACTCCTTAACATGCTGGCCAACCAAAATGGTGGCAAGATGCAACTTAAGAGAAGTTTGTTTGTTGACCTCAACCATCAAAGTATATCAGGCTCGGTCTCGACCTCTCGTGAAGGTTTGTCCATTTCTTAAACATTCAGCACTCTGCACGACTGATATCTGTGAATGTTCGATGCTTCTTAATTGGATCTATTGGCGGAGGTATCCACTCTACTAGTTTAACTATCTGCAAGAAAAGAAAAATCTCCTAGTTTGAATAAAAAGCTAATTTTCCCCAACAACAGCTGGATGATTGTCTTCTCAATTCAGTTTGATCGATGCATTTCGGACCAGCTCCAAGATCTTTTCCCTTATTTCCTTCGTAATGGTTCCCATGAGGTACGATGTAACGACGAGGGCCATGCTAGGTTAAGATTGATATAAAAAATAACAGGACTAAAGTATTAAAGAACCAGTTATTGCTTGTTCCAAAGGGAGGCGGAGATCACTTCTCTACATCGCTCACGTCGATCCTTGTTTTAATCACCAACAACTCAAACTCATGAACAGAACTGAGACTGAAACTGTGACGAGCTGAAGTGAAGCTCTACGACGGAAGAGAGGTTGAGATCACACAGCTTAATTGTACAGTGTCTGGCACGCACACACACACACACACACACACACACACACACACACACACACACACACACACACACACCTCCTCTCGGGTGCAGTTGATTGGTCCATATCACATGTGATGCTCTAAGTAAAAAGAAAACAGATGCAGAGTTTTCTGTTGTCTCTCATTAATGCGAAAAACTTCAGCAGCAACTCTTTTTTTTTTTAAACTCCTGAGCTCTTTCATCCCGGTGATAAACTGGCGGCCTGTCCGGGGTGTAGCCCGCCTCTCGCCCAATGTCAGCAAGGATTGGCTCCAGCCCCCACATCCCCTTCTAAGGATAAGTAGGGTAGATAACGTATGGATGGATCTTTCATTACGATGCCTTAGTTTGCAGAGGCTGGGGTTGTGATATATGAAAATTAATACACTGCATGAGGACAGAGAAAAAGGAGTGGCTACCACATCGACGTTTTATTAAAACTCAGATAGACACAGAAAAAACAAACAAATTATCCCTAAAAGTTAGAAGAAGTTCCCCTAATATATTACAAAAAAACAATGTGGGAGCCTGTAACCATGAATAAACAAAGATGCTTGGAAAAAATCCATTTTAAGATGACTAAGGATGACTAAAGAGTTGACTAAAGACACTGGGACATAATCTGAAAATCATTTTCTTCCTCCGCTGGGAATTTGGGTCAGTGACGTCTTCGGCCCACGAACCAAAACAAAGAGCATAAAATGCCTGAGGAGTTCTGAGGATCGTCAGCTGGGTGATTATTACCTGTTGGTTCATGTCCTCCAGTTCATATCTACACGCCATCATTCAATCCATTAATAATATAAACATTTTATGATTCGATTTTGTTCTCGAAGCCTCGGTTACAATCACACAAAGCTTACACACGAGCGTAGTTACCTGCTCCATTGACTTTCATTGTCCTTGCCTTCCTGCCGCCTCATGCAAAAGACACGCGCACTCCCAATAAAATGTTTTTCCCTTGTAGCACAGCAGCACATTCGTCGAACTAATTTCTGTCGTCTATCTATGTACGATGGAACGTTAGCATGTATGCAGCACTGATCATTTCCTCTTCTGTCTCTGTAGTTTTATTTTAACAGATGCAAATGTTGGGTGGAAGAACCGTTTTTTTTCCCCCGTGTGAAGACGTGGGATGGTTTTCGTTGCATTTTGGCCAGACGCTGCAACAAACATCTTGTTCTACATCTGGAGTGGGTTGTAACAGCAGGTTGAGTCGAACGGCCAACAAAAAACATCCACACAGGCCCATATAAGGCCTCACAGACCAGAGCCTGGCACGATAAACACCTGGGCGCTCAGGACAGGAGGGTCAAGAAAGATTTACACCTTTTATATCTCTGTTTACGAGCTGGACGAGGATCTAGTCGTCTGATAACGTGCACAACACCAAAGCACTGGTCTATTTTGGTGGATGGTGATTTACATCCACCTGCCAGTTACACACTCTGGTTCCTACCCACACTGTACTGAACGATGGAAGACGTCAGCCGTGTGTTATTCTCCTCCCATGTGTTGCAAATCTAGAAATGCAGCCTATATCCCTCTGTTTAACTTATACCGTAGGTGCAGCTGAGTCATGTTTTCCAGTCGGAGCAAACATGCAGCTCACAGCTTTGGCACGGCGCTCCTCTTTTCCTCAGCCAGTTAATTGCTGGAAAACATGAGGGTAGATTTGTTATTCTTCTTTTAAGCCATGAAATCTTCCAACAAGAGTTTGTTTGTGTCTTTCAGTGATACCGTAGGTAGCAGGCATGTTATTGCCAAGCAGCGATGGGCAGAATGAAACAGCTTTGGTTTATTTTGGTCTCTGGTCGTTGTTATAACTTGGTTTGGTCATGGATTTGTTATCGTAATTGTGTCCATGTTTTACATCAACTTTTCCTGCTGCAGCTACATTTTATTTTGGCTTCAAAAAGGGAGCCAGATTGTTTATAGACCATTCTCTAAAACCCGCACTTG